TGTCTGTGATTCTAACCACGTCGCTACACGTGTCTGTGATTCTAACCACGTCGCTACACGTGTCTGTGATTCTAACCACGTCACTACACGTGTGTTTGATTCTAACAACGTCACTACACGTGTCTGTGATTCTAACAACGCCACTACACGTGTGTGCTTCAGGGACCGCATTCGGACGTCGATCAACGTGCTAGGTGATGCGTACGGGGCTGGCATCGTCTATCACCTCTCCAAAGCGGAGCTGGCAAAACTGGATGCCGAGCATGGAGCAGTAGCAGCAGCAGCAGCAGCCGAATACGCCCCCGACCACCATTATCACCTTAGCAACGCAACACATTACTATGGCGACGCAGTTGTCGACGAGATGAAACCGCTGAGCAAAGCAAACAGCACGAACGCCACCGGCGCCGTCTGCACGGCAACCCCGGAGGACAGCGAGACTCCGATATAGAGGGCGCCCCGACGCTGAGGGAACTCGGATGGTTTACTCGTTAGGGGGAGCGGCGAGCGGATAGATGGTGTATGCAGGCCAGGCGCACTGCTAATTCAATCAACGTGATGCTGCCTCAGGATGCTGCCTGGCTCATCATGGATGCTGCCTGGTCGCATGTCCCATAGTCACGTTTCGTAGTCGCTCGGCTATATATATAGCTACCAACATGGCGGCTTGATATGATGATGTTCGCTGAGTGGTCGGAAGGGTGGTGATCAGTGATTATCTGCAGAGCACGGAGATCATGAAGCCCACACCGCATGTTGATCTCAATTATTGGAATTTGTTTGTGTGCACGATCACCTAAGCAATGTACATAATACTATGTATGTATGTAGATAGGTTTACCTGCGCGCGCTCACGCAGCCGCACACGAGCAAACATGCACATGCACATTTGCCCGCGTAAACATGCACACGTACACGTGAATAAATACGTGTACATAGGCCTACTATATATCCTGAGAATATAAGCCACTCTAACAACTGCGTATTATATTATCCTGATATATATATATATATATATATATATATATATACCTATATGTATATGTATATAATATAGGCCTATATATATACGAGTATATTATACTCGTGTATACGCACATACGTGATTAATATACGCATAATTATACGTTTATATAGACATATACGTATACATATACATTTACATATGCCTATTACATTTACATATACATATTCATAATACATATACATATACGCATACACTAAACATACACATACACATACACATACACATACACATACACATACACATACACATACACATACACATACACATACACATACACATACACATACACATATATTACAATTAAGTGATACACTATTAAATAGCAGCGAGAGAAAGTAATCTTTAGAAGCACTTATTTATTACACTGAAATTTTGATAGGTTGTATTACTTTCGATGCCTCAATAGTTCTTCGGAACTATTCGACGTTTTTTCTAATTAATTATTTTCATTAGTTCGTTTCATTCACGAACTAAGTGAAATTCTTGTTCTTGTCTGCAGGAACATGCTTCCCGAAAATCTGGTAACGGCATGCTTTCAAAGCACGCAGACGACGTATGTCAACAAGACAGTGAAGCCAAAGTTCATCAAACAAGTGATTGCAGCAAACCTGACCAACGCGACTACTGTAGCGCCGGGTCTCGTTAACCTAACAACTATCGCGACAAAAGCTGTAGAGGAAGTGATTCTGGTGCGAGAATTTGACTTCAAGGGCGGCACGAACATACTCGGTAAGGTCGTAGTGGCACCTCCTACAACACGAGCTTAAGTGTTATGGATATTAATGCCTCTAATGCTGCTGCTACAATGTTAAAGTTATCATCAATCGTAAGATTTTATCAACTGGCATTATTTCATGAATTATTTTTCTTAGAATGGCATGAAAAGCGTTCAATATAATGGTTTTGAGTACGGATTTTGGCGTGTTATGGCTAGGGGCGTGTCAAGAATGTTTGCTCGTCCTAAGACAAGAAACGAATTTGATTTCGTCGCACTATCATACTCTCTTGATCACCGGAGGTGAAACAAAGTAATCGATGCTTGCTCGCTGCGCCACCCGTTAACGTTGAAAAAGACCGGAAAAGACAGAAAATGTATTGAAGCTGTAACATTTTCGCCACGTCAAGGGTGCGGGTATTGTGAATCCTCGGTCATGAGCGGCAACCCGACACGTATTATTATCACACATTAATGCACATGTCTCAGGAACTCTGGCAATGTACGCTGACCATGACGGTGTGCATTGCCCACAACGATGTACGTTGACAATGACGGCGTGCGTTGTCCATGCCGATTATAATTTTTGTTATATGAAACGTAGCAGAGCTCAATTTGAACACAGCATCCTAGTATCATTACGTTTGGTCGACGAATGAAACAATAAGCAACAAAATTGTGCAAAACATTAAATTCTACAAATGCCACATCGTACTCAATGTATTCTTTGTTTAGCAATACATGATGGATTACATGAATACTATAGAGAAGCGATGGAGGACTACAACATAGCGCAACATGGTGGAGAATCACCCACCGATCAACCTCTAACTACACACGTATATCACACACGACATTTCCCCTATATTTTCCTTCTTCTAGAAATATTCGTTTAAATTTGCTCCACATGCGAATATCGTTAGGAAAGTATTAATGAGTGAAGCGTACACTCGTGCGTCAGTAATGTGTCAGTAACGCAACAAGCTGGCTAGTCAATACCCCGCTTAATGATCTTAAAATTAAGCAACACACCCTGTGGCTATACTTGGTAATGAAATCATTGTCGCAATAGCTGTAAGCGATCATTAACATTTCGTCGCTCTTCTATTCGCGCGCGTTAAACTCTCTCGCCGCTTTTAAGAGCACCGTAAACCTGCCGACACTGTACGTATTATTATATACGTATGTACGTGTCATACACATACGTATGTATGTACGTGCGTGTGTACGTATCGATGCATACATCATTCTACGATATTCTGCCGAAAAAATTTCCGCAGTTCCACTAAATACCTTTCAGCCTATGCGAACCCAAACTATTGTAATTTTTCAATAAACACTAAAACAGAATACTTACATGATTATATATCATATACAGGCTTTAAACATGTTGTAATGTGTGACGGATGTAGATGGCGTTTCGTATTGAGACGAGTGTAGCACGTGTTCTTGTGTACGTGTTGTAATGGGGTTGATAGTCTTCTGTTTTGTAGTGTGACCAGGGTTATCGTCTTTCTTGGTAGTGTGTAGGTTTGATCGTCTTCTGTTTCTTGTGTAGCGTGTCAAGGTTGATCGTCTTCTGCTTCTTTGTGTACATGTGTACAGAGTTGATCGTCTGTCTTGTGTCGTGTGTACAGGGTACGTCTTCGCTCTTGTATACGTGTGTACAGGGTTGATCCGTCTCTGTTTTGGTATAGTGCTGTACAGGGTTGATCGTCTTCTGTTCTCTGTATACGTGTTTACAGGTTGATCGTGCTTCTTTTCGTGCGTACGTGTGTACAGGGTTGATCGTCTCGCCTTGTATACGTGTGTACAGGGTTGATCGTCTCTGTTTCTTATACGGTTACAGGGTTGATCGTCTTCTTGTTCTTTGTATACTTGTAAGGGTTGATCGTCTTTCTGTTCTGTGTTAGTGTTTACAGGTTTGATCGCTTCTGTTCGTGCGTACGTTGTCGGTTGATCGTCCTGTTCTGTGTAGCGGTGTAGGGTGACGTCTGTTTGTGTACGTTGTACAGGTTATCGTCTCTGTTCTTTGTAACGGCGTGCAAGTTGATCGTCTTCTGTCTTGTGTCATGTGTACAGAGTTGATGTCTTCTGTCTTGTGTAGTGTGTACAGGGTTGAATCGTCTTCACCTCTGTATACGTGTGTACGGGTTGTATCGTCTTCTGTTTGTATACTGTGTACAGGGTGATCGTCTTCCGCGTTGAATACTGTGTGTAAGGGTTGATGTCTTCTGTTCTTGTATACGTGTGTCAGGGTTATCGTCTCTGTTCTTGTGTACGTTTTTACAGTGAATCGTTCTGTTCGTGCGTACGTGTGTACAGGGTTGATCGTCTTCCGCTTTGTATACGTGTGTAGCAGGTTTGATGTCTCCGCTCTTGTATCGTGTGTAGGGGTTATCGTCTTTCTGTTCTTGTGTACGTGTTTACAGGGTTGATCGTCTTCTGTTCTTGAGTACGTGTGTATCAGGGGTTGATAGTCTTACTGCTCTTGGTGTACGTGGTATACAGGGTTGATCGTCTTCTGCTTCTTGTATACGTGTGTACGGGTTGATCGTCTTCTGTCTTGTGTACCGTGTTTACAGGGTTGATCGTCTCTGTTCTTGTGGTACGTATGTAGAGGGTTGAATTCGTCTCTGTTCTTGTATACGCTGTTACAGGGTTGATCTTCTTCTGTTCTTGGTGTACGTTGTACAGGGTTGATCGTATCTGTCATGTGTACGTGGCACCGGGTTGATACGTATTCTGTTCATCGTGTACGTGTGTAAGCAGGGTTGATCGTCTTCTGTTCTTGTGTACGTGTGTTTACAGGGTATTCGTCTCTGTTCTGTATACTATGTCAGGGTTGATCGTCTTCTGTTCTTGGTGTACCGTGTGCTACAGCGGATGATCTTCTTCTGTTTTGTGTACCGTGTGTCAGGGATGATCGAAATTCCTGTTCATGTGTACGTGTGTCAGGGTTGTCGTATTTTTGTTCATCGTGGTACGTGTGTACAGGGTTGATCGTCTTCTGTTCTTGTAATACGTGTTGTACAGTTGATCGTCTTCTTGTTCATGGTGTAAAGTGGCTGTACAGATTGATCGTCTTCTGTTCATTGTACGTGTGCACGGGGTTGATACGTATTCTGTTCTTCGTGTACCGTGTCGTAGGGATGATCGTATTCTGTTTCATGTGTACGTGTGCACGGGGTTTTATCGTATTCTGTTCTTGTGTACGTGCGTTACAGAGTTGATCCATTCTTATGTTTCTGTGTACGTGTGTACAGGGTTGATCGTATTCTGCACGGCGTTCGGCATCAACCATCAGCTCGATGAGAGAGGCGCGCTGATGGCGCGGTTCTTCACGATCCTCAACGAGTCGTCATGCGCATTAGTGATCCTCCATCATGTGTACGCTGCCCGGCATGCAATGTGATCGCAATCGCCTCTTTTTTATCACGCATCGAGAATATTATAAAGCTCCATAAACGTACGCAATGGATGACATTCTTGAAGAAACACGCGCACTCCGTTTGAGAAAAGAAACGATCAAAAATAGTAAATAGTACGTAAATTGTAGTTATAATTTAATATTTTTTATATATTATTGAGATTTATGTGCATGTGTCATATATTTACTGGTGCAGTAAGCCTTGATCGTATAGTAAAAATGATAATGTTTACGATCTATGGTGACCAAGACCCTTCGGAGGACAGGGAATCATTTTCACTTTAAAATATCAGCCAGTCTGGAGCAGCAGATAAATACTGGTTTTCGATAGCGTCAATATTTCAATATGACGACAGGCTTAAGTGTCAGTGCTGGTTGCGATTGGTGGTCGTGTGATACAGTTTTTGTGATCAGCGAAGGAAGGAGAATGGCAATTTACTATCACAGAAAGTGCACAATATTCGCCTCGATTCATGGCCATTACTATTGTACTAAACTATATCACAGGTGATGTTCAAGGTGTTATAGAACATCATCGAAACATGCGACGTATACGATGATTCTTGTTCTGCTTCCAGGTAATTCGCCGTTCGGTATCGAATGTTTCTGATTGCCGGAAAGATCTTGGAGACTCGAGAGCATGCGGAGACTGCCGAAAGCCGCTGGACTTTATATGGTCACGGGTCAATTTCCGGTCTTGATGAATACAGCTTTACTCTGATCGCGCTTCGCTGCTGTTTGTTTCCTCATCACGCGAAACAACCCGCTGTCCTTCTGCAAGGGCAATGCTGCAGCCTGGATCACGCCCCTGGGTACGGCATCAAGGTAAGAGACTGTCCGTAATGATATCGGGTATGAATTGCGGGAATTTACGGTGGGTAATTACTTCCGTGGCTGCATTACTCGGACGAACTAGTCACGGTGCTGCACTATCCGCTTGCAAGTTCTGGCAACTCTGCCGATCACATTTCGC